GGTGAAGTCTGACTTTGGCGGATTAGCTTGAAGTCTTTTATCCAATCTGTTTAAAAAGAATGTAAATTAAGATATTGAAGGATGTAAATTATTTTATTTGAGTTCATGCAATTACTGTTTATTTTATCGATTTATATAGTTTTTTTCTTGTAAATAGTCTTGTAAATAATTAAATAAAATGATAGTAAACTTTTAAAATGGGTGTTGATTATCAGAACTGCATAAATACACGCGCGATTGTAGTGCTTTTTTGCCAAAAGCTTCGCAATTTAATTTAATTTTATTTCTTCTTGCATTTTAATATCTTTTGCATGTTGTCTAATTCATCGACGGATTTCCCCTGCTTTGTAAAATTGCAAAAAACAAAAAACAAAAAACAAACTATCGATCGAAAATAATGTCTCAACACAGTCAGAGGTCTAAATTCAGGCCATACAACACTGAAATGATATTCGTTTTCTTGGCTATGTTGTTTCTTCTCTCCGTTCCTCTCTTTTTATCACGTTTATTTCTTAGAAGATTAATAAAGTGTTTTCTCCAAAACGCTCCGTTGTTATGCAGCACAAGACTTGAGTCGCGTAACGCAAGACCAAAATCCTATTGCAAAAAAAAAAAGAGAAAAGACCTTGGGACAAAAAATATCCCCAACATGTGTCAGAGGTTGCCAGAGGTAGGAAAAAGCGCGTTAACCAAATGACGATTGCTCTTTGGCACTCCTGATTGGTTGACGAGACTGTATGTTTCCTCTGATTGGTTTATAAAGCCTGTTGCACGAGCTGATTTGATCATGGAGTTTAACCCTGAGGTACATTGTAAGGCCAATCACCGATCATTTTGGATTCCAGTGTGTTTGAGGAAAACTCGGTCGGAGAAATCACATGATGATAGTGACGCTGCTCCGTGTTCAAAATGTTTTCCGTCCACACGAGAATGAAAAGCCGGCGTTTTCAAGCTCCTCCGGTTTAAAGAGCGTTTTCGAAAAGCTCCGTTTTCGTGACAGATTTTAAGCTGCGTTTTCAAATTTCTTAGTCAACAACCGAAGCCAAGGTTAATAGTCAATTTATTTATTTATTTATTTATTCATTTAAAGGAAACAATAAGCGATATCTGCATAATTAGCCCAGTTTATACAAAACTCTAAAGTTCATTAATGAAAATAAAATGCCTGGAAGAATGTCTAGAACGCAGAGTACCGCAGAGTTACACAGCATACAGCGGATTCCATGTTGCCGTGCGTCTGTTCAGTAATAGATCACAGGTGACGTCAAAATTTGGCAATAACAAAAAAGTGGCATTTGAGGCGATAGCCGAGTGTGTCACTGAATCTGATGTTCTTACCACATTTTGACGTCTTCTGTGATCTTTTGCTGAACAGACACACGGCAACATGGAATCAATTTGTTTTATATAATAAAGAAACACAAAAGAATTTTACTGACGTCATCAATGCGTCTGTCCCCAGTAGATCATAAATAAGAACCAATCAAAATGGGAGGATAATTTGACTTGTTGAATAAAAAGTCTGGGTATGCACGTTTCTCCTTCTTCCAATGCCTTGCGGTTCTCGAGGTTTTGTTCACAACGCAAATGAGGCCCCATTAGGGGAGGGGGAGGGGTGTTGAGTATCCAATTCACATATCCCGTTAACTCCAGTTTCAAAAATTAGCCATTTCCCTACTTGATAGCCCACTATATATCTCATATCCCATTATTTTTTCCCCAAATATCCTGTATTCCACTTTTTACTTGAATATCCTATATAAAGATTTTAAGGAAAACGACCACTTTTTTAAGTTTAAAAAACATGTTTCGACAGAACTTCTGTCA